GAAAAACCGAAAGCAAGAAAAAATTTGATCGAGCTTCGCACAAATTGAATCGGCGCCCGAAAAGAATCAATTGTATCTCAACTAAAGATGAACAAACCAAAGCGCAGTACTAAAAAATTGGCAAACGAAGAAAACAAACCCTACCATACAGAGGGAACCATGACCGCTTTAATAATGAAGAAGAAGATTGTCCTTGAATCCTAGTACAGTTTTTTTGTTCATCAAAGCATACCGCTTATATTAATATCGTTAAGATTCGGATTGATACAACAAACTCACAAAGACCAATCCTGACAACAACTATCCCTAACCAACTACCACTATCGACCTTATGGCTAGACTCAGAGACGATCACCCCTGAAAGAGCAATACGAATCGCTAATCACCATGCGAGATTGACACAACAATCACTGGTCACATAGATCCTTTTAACGACATAATATCTAGCAGAATTATGATTCCTTATTGTAGACATAAAACTAAAGACATCGACAAAAAATTGGGCAACATGAACAAACTTAACGTGAAAGTAAGACCATAAAAAACAGATGACAAACACTCAAGTCGCTTCCTGCCAGTATTCTTGAAGTATCATCTTCCAAACCCTATCACCTCAGTCGCTCCAGGGCGGCAGTTCAGAGGGGGCAGTCTTCCAATCTATCTTCTCCCATGCTCAGTACTCGATTCAGAAATTATCAGGCAATTTTTCAGTCGAAAGTATCAATCACAGACCTTCAGATTTGACCCACAGCAACACATCCAGAAACATCAACCATAGAGAAGCACATATCATGGATAGGCAGAATGTGATAACAAGTGCCCGCCCACTTACGCTCCAAATCGTTCACCGGAAAAGAAACGACGCAAGCCGCCTGCCGGAAAGACAAACCCTAGACAAAGCTAGGAAGAAGACCACTTTTATGAAGACAATCAATTCAAAATCACCTTCATTGCTCTTGATTGGAATAAGGACCCGTTCACGCCGCAACCAAACGGAAAAATCAAGTTGCTGCTCTTTCATATCTACACGAATGCAAATAAGTAAATAACTGCATTCATCTGTTGTTGGTGTGTTTTTTGGGAATTCACCGTCGACGGAGAGCATGGTGTGACAAATCGATTGTTTGGTTATCTTTGACCTCCACCGCGAAAGGCTTCAATAAAGATGTCCGATGAGGGGTTTTATTAACCGGATGAGAAATACCATAGTGGCGGTGGGCCTAATTTCTCCCCACTTCTTTTTTAAATCCTAAAATAGTTGAAAGCTGAATTTGTGAGACATTTGTACTAATTTTATAATTTAATACCAGTACGCATATCATTTTAATTAATATATACGAAGTAGTATATACTAATTTGGCATATGATAAAATACTTGGTTGTACTGTGTGAATGATATAGCCAATTGTATCATACTTCGTATAATTTAGGGAAAGGAATGCATCTGTTACTGGCGTGGAAAGCAAATAGAAAACTATTTGCCGCCCACATAGAGGTCTTAGCTACATTAAATGTAAAATTAATATGTAGTTCATTAAATGTTTGAAATTATAACTTCAAATCTTTATATATATAAAGATAGTATGGTGGAAAAGAAATAGAAAACTATTTGCCGCCCACATAGAGGTCTTATCTACATTAAATGTGAAATTAATATGTAGTTCATTAAATGTTTGAAATTATAACTTCAAATGTTTTTGTTAAATATTGTAAATACTAAATGTAATAGATTTTACTTTATCACTAATCACACTTTATGACAAGAGTTAACATTTCTAACTTACATAATAAGATAATGTAAATTTTGTTTTTTAATTACAATTTATTTTTATAAAACAATAATATGACAACAAGAATTTTGAATATGATAAACAATATAAATAAGTCTTTCATGACCACTAAATACATTTCTGAATATAGAATACAATCATTTTTAATGTAATAAAGAGGTATTTCCCAATATATACATTGTATAAGGCTAATTACTCGACGTATGTGTGTTGTCCATGCCCAATAATTGCGAGACCAGGGGTTCGAGCACATATCAATAACTATGTACTAATACCACATCTTGTACTATCTCTAAGATAACATGTGCAAAGACTGCAAACCACACACATTATAACAAAAGTGTACTAATGAGATTGGCTTTGATTATCAAAGTAAGATTCGATCATAAGAATAAATTTGAAGCAGAACAAATATCAAAAAATATAGTACGAATTGAACAAACTTAATAATTCAGATAAAAATGGGATAAACAAACAGTGAGACGTGAAAGGTAATGTTCAGTATTTCTCTTACAAGTATCATGCTTATTATCTTAGTTTATGATCATAAGTACTTATTATATGATGATAAAGTATGAAAACTGTGCATAAATCAAAGGTCGTGTTTCTCTATTTTTTTGAACATGAGGCACAAATTGCAAACTTCAAACTAAGGTGGTGTAATGAATAAAATTTTCAAAATTTGGAACGTTTGATTTCAATTTATCATTCATTAGTTATGAATTGCGGAGTATATCTTTCAAAAAATATGAAACAAATCTTTCTTACACATTTTTATATTTCATTTGATTTTATATGAAAAATATTCATTTCTCATTAAAAGAACGGTTTAAGTGAATTCTACCGTGCAACGCACGGGTTGATTGACCAATAAGTTATTAAAATCTCTAACCCGCCATTTTCACGGGATGACAGTTTCTCTGTAGAATTTATCAATTTCCCTCTAAAAATCATATTCACTGATATACCGAATTACATTCGCGTCTCTAAGATATGGAGAATACGAGCGTAGTACCTTACGATATTCTGGACGGTCTGGCGCGGTGGTTCGGATCGAGCGTAGCTGCGGCCTTCTTCTCGTCGCTGGAACGCTTCTCGTGTGTCAATCTCGCAACCTACGACACCGACGACGATGAGGAGGAAGAGGAGGAGGAGGAGGCCAATGAAACCTCTTCTCACGGCGGTCCTCACCCCAACCATGGCTCTGCCGCTACAATCCCCACCGCCCCTGCCTCCGTCGATTGAAGAACCACGCAACCTGCAAAACAATATTTGGTCGCCCGATTAAAGAAATTTGTTGAACTATGGATGGAAAATGGAAATTCTAATTAACAAACTCTAATTGTTTGGAAGGTTTGTCATTTCAATATTCATGGTTTAACATAATTCTTTATTCTTTAATTTTGTTTATCAGGTTCCACTTCAATATTTGGATTAAATTTGTAGATCAATTATATTTGAGACTAAGGTATGATGAGCTTGATCATGTCATATACCTTTGTTATGTCAGGTCATAAGTTTGTTTTAAAATACAATAAATTGAAGGAAATGTTTTACACAATTTTAAGTGATTTCGATTAATACATAGCATAAATTATAGGATATTTGATTACGTACAATAATCTCAATTTATAAAAGATATGCAACTAATATCATATACGGAGTACTATGTATGTACTGAAATGTCAGGTCATAAGTTTGTTTTAAAATACATTAAATTGAAGGAAATGTTTTACATAATTTTAAGTGATTTCGATTAATACGTAGCATAAATTATAGGATATTTGATTATGTACAATGAGCACTCTTCTCGTCAGGCCGGCCTGACAGGAACCTCCGTCCGGCCGAGCCCGTTTGGGTACCTTCCCGGTGGAATGTTTTGATGAAAATTTTTTAGCATGTTTCTCATCAAGTCTAGTTTGTCCATACCAAATTTCAGCTCAAAATTCGATCGGGAAGGCATTCAAATCATTTTTTGAAGTTGACTGCGTCAAAATATACATATAAAACTGCAGTCAACTTCAAAAAATAATTTGAATGCCTTCCCGATCGAATTTTGAGCTGAAATTTGGTATAGACAAACTAGACTTGATGAGGAACATGCTCAAAAATTTTCATCAAAAAAATCCACCGGGAAGGTGCCCAAACGGGCTCGGCCGGACGGAGCAGCCTGTCAGGCCGGCCTGACATGAACTTTCCTCTATGTACAATAATCTAATTTGTAAAAGATATGCAACTAATATCATATACGGAGTACTATGTATGTACTGAAATGATACGAATTTCATACAATGAATCCATCAAAGTGTTGAGGTGATAATCGAAGTATGAATTCCAGAGTTACAATTATTCTAATTTAATAACCAAATATATGATTAAAAAAATAATCAACATTTGTTAATTTTGATATGTTCACAATGAATGTGGTGGTTATGCTAATTTTACACTAGCTTGAGCAGTTGAGCTTAATGATTTTTTCATAGTAAGATTAGTAAACTCATAATTATATTTTTTTCAATAAATATTATTTTGATAACACTGAGAAAACTCCCAACACATTAGCTGGATGTATTATTCTAAAATGTTCTTATATTTAATTTGGTATGTATTAAAATTAACAGGCTATCAATCAGTGTAAATGTGTAATCTATATGAGCGAGAGCTACGTTCCAACTTCCAACATAGCTTGGGGGTGTAATGAGAATACATTTTTATTTTTAAATAAAAGTGTTATAGTGTTGGGGGATTCGTCCGCTTGATTATACACCCCGACCAGATCCACCTAGGCATGGCCCAGGTCGGGATTGGGTGGTACTGGGGATTTGAGCTGAAGGCCTGGTACCAGCCCGGGTTTGAACCGGAACTGGGTCGAGCCCAGATTGGGTCAGATCATTTTTTTTAAAATATTTTCTAATTTATTCCTACCTCCACCTCCAAACCCTGCCAAAACACCCAACCCAACCCACCTAGCAGTGCCCAATGCCTAAAAACTAAAAAAAAAACATTTTGGCCCGAACCTGTCCACTAAACTAAGGTCCCGAAGTCCGTTACCAGAAGCTCAAACATTATTCATGTCTTCATGCATTTCAATGCAGATAGCCATTGAAGAGGTAGGTGTTTAGGGCCTTAGGCACACTATACGTCAACCGCGGGCTAAAATGAAGAATTCGCATTAAAAACAATGGATTCTCTCACATCCTTTCTTGTTACCTGCCATCTAAGTTAGAAAGTAAAACCAAAACATTGTCATTCAGCGTTTATAAGGTTTTTAACAGACCTGAAGAATTTATAGAAGAGTGATCCTTTCAAGCACAATTGTTGGAGTTTGACTAGTGCATCTTAATAAATTATTCTTGTTAGTTAGAATTTAGAAAGATACATCCACATTTATACATACATTCATATTTATACACTCCAAGTTCAATGAGAACATGTTACAAAGACGCTTGTATCCATGTGCTTCACAAACTTCTTATCTATGCACTCTATATCAGATCAGATTCGCTGTTTGCGGTATTTACTTAATCTGCGGGTTGGAGTTGGACATGGGGACAAGGCCGGTCAGGATCCCCCTTCGTCCATAGGTGCTTGAGATCACCTCTTTTCTTTCCTAATGTCAAAAATGTTCCTGCAAAATTTCCAGTGATGACATTTACATTATAGCAACATACACAACGGCCAAATTACCAAATTGGTAAAAAAGAATGGTTTACCAAAATACGGTAAAAAAAAGTCCAGAGACAAATTGATAAAAAAATAAAGCTCCGTTGACAAACCGATCAATACTTTGTGAATGAGATAATTTTAGTTCTCGACTTTAGAATTCCCGACATTTAGTCCTCTAACTGTTGTGAAAACTAGTAATTTTACTACTACCTCTGTCCCGTTCTCAGGTTGCTATTGGAAAACAACGTGGTTATTTAGACAATATTTAAATAAAGTAATTCGAGTATATTTTGAGAAATAGTTTGGATGGATATAGAAATATATACTCGTAATATAATATAATGGGATCATTGATGATCATTGTGATGTTTAAAAAATTAAAGAAATAAAGTTAAATTAAATTTATATACACTTTTAAATTCAAGAAATAATTAAAATACCTCAAACTTTGAAAAGGTGTGAGGTAAGCACCCCAAACTTGCATATGTAATTTAAGGGAAAACTATCAAATAAGCCCCCCAACTTTTCAAAAAAATCAATTAGGCCCCCCTACTAAAAGTTGAACCAATTAAACCCCTGAACTCATTTAAAAATGGCAAATCCTCCTTTTAGTAGGTTTTCTTTCAATTTTCCAGTTAATTGCCTGTGTGTGATGTGGAATATTTTTGTTTTTTTGTTTTTTTCTTCCTTTTTCCTTTCTTTTGCTTTCCTCTCTTCTTCCTTGCGTTTCTTCCCTGCGCCTCACCATCTCTGCAACTTTTCCCTTCAATGTTTATTTCTTTCTTTATCCATTTTCTTCTTCCACCTAGTGTTCTGCTCAAATTTCCCGGCCTTCACCCTCCTCCCTGAGCCTCTTCTCCACCCACGACTATGGTTCACGGCCAAATTGATGCTACAGATCTGGGTGTGGTCCAAACTTGGAGGCTTCACAAAACACCGTCGCCGACTTGTTGACCCAGAATCTTCAACGGAGCATCTTCCCCGACTTCCAATCCATCAAATCGCTGAAAAGGGGACAACCGGCGTGCGAAGTACTTCAGCATCTCCGGCGACCTGGGTTCTTCTCGGACTGTGTGCAGTGCTGCGCCGCCGGAACCAACACTTTGCTTGGCAGAAGAAGAAGAAATTGAGAGAAGGAAGGGTGGGTGGAAGAAGAAGAAAGGTGGAAGAAAAGAAAGAGGGGAGGCAGAAGTTTGCTGGAATGAAACGGGCTGGTGAAATGAGAAAGAAGTTGGGGGAAGGGGAAAAAGAAAAGAAAATTTAAAAGAAAAAGAAAATGAAAATGAAAAAAAAAAATCAAAATAGCCATGTGTGTTATCACGTTTACACAATAAACGGGTAACCTATTGGTTACCGGTTAAAAAGAAATTTTGACATTTTTAAATGAGTTAGGGGGTGTAATTGAGTGAACTTTTAGTAAGAGGGTCTAATTGATTTTTTTGAAAAGTTGGGGGGCTTATTTGATAGTTTTCCCGTAATTTAAATACCCCAAACTTTATATGAATAGTTATTTTAGCACCTTAGTCATGTATTATTTTTTTCATAAATGTCAATTTTTTGTGTTAATTTCATAATTTAAAATATTTTAGCATTCATGAAGATACAATTAACATTGTAAACTTCCACTGTAAAATAAAAAGTATTAACCCCCACTGTATATAATTGCAAAGTTTTCAATTTGATATTTTAAATTATGCAATTAACATCATAAATTTACATGTTTGAAAGAAATGATACATGACCATGGTGTTAAAATAACATTTTATATAAGTTTGGGGTATTTAAATTACATATGCAAGTTTGGGGTGCTTATCTCACACCCCTTCATAATTTGGGATATTTTAATTATTTTCCCCTATTCTTAATAGTCATTTTACGTCTTAACAGCCAATCACAAACATCTAAGTTACTAAAAAATATAACTTCAAACCGCCAATGAAAGCGGTTGGTTAAAACTTAAAACAACTAACATAATTCGTTAGTATCAATCTGCTAATTTAACCGGCTACCAGCTAGCAGCCAAATGCTGATTGATATTTTTAGTCATCCGCTTTTCATGATAAAATCACAATAGAAGAATTGGAAATGACAATTCCACAATATATAGGGGACTACATGTCGAGAATTCTAAGATCGAGGACTAAAATGTCTCACTCACAAAAATCTGACAAATTTGTCGCCAGAGCTTCGTTTTTTACCAATTTGTTTCGGAAGGTTTTTTTTCCTACCAATTTCATAATTTGGCCTATATAGAACGGAAGTTGAAGTACTATGTACAATCTTAAATTGATGTACATACCTAAAGTGAAAGGAACTATGTAAAGCAATGCAGGTTGCCCGTGTCCATCCATCAAGTTGAGAGCTAAATAGGTTACAAGCAAACCTATGCAAAGTACAAAATAAGAATACAAAAATAAAATAGGCACACACACATGCAGAAAGATCCACTCAATCACAAGAACATGAGATATGTTGAAAAGTTTCAAGACACGACAATTTTAGTGTGTATCAAATGGTACGGTGTGAAGTTAGAGTGAACCAAGCATTTTTTCAAACTCCTAGAGCTCGATTTCTATCCTAACTAGCCGAGCTTTGATCTAGAATACGACCTACTAGAAAAGCCTAGAAGTTCAAAAAAATTATGCCGCGCTCAAACATACGCGGGCTCAGTTCAGCTATATAGAGAGAGAATCAGAGACGAATTATATATATGTTAAAGATCAAAGATATTTAGTGTATTTTTTTACATTTAAATTTGATTAATAATGAATCAAGTACTTCTTGCAAATTCACACATCGAAAATCTATTGAGCCAAACCTGAACCTCATGTATAAAGAGTACTTCGAGCTCAAACCCGAACACCACAATCACCAAATCAAACCGAGCACGAGATGAGGATGTTCGTGCTCGGCTCAATTAGTTAACACCCCTACATGGAATTATGGTATTTCTAAAGCAAATAGAATATCCCAAACTTGAACTGTGAACTTATCTAAAGATTCTAAAAAGAAAACTTTTGGGCTATGACTGCTAGCTAATCTGCCAGATTAATTGCTGAGCAAATAGATCAGACTCGGACGAGGCATTGCGGCAATGGAGACTCAACTGCTCTACCAGAATCTCAAGGTGCCGATGAAAAACTCTAATACTTCAAGAAGAATTAGATATGTGTTTAACAACGTGCAAGTTGAAGAGCTTAGAACAAAAGGAGCTTCCCCTTCAGGTAGAAACCACTGGAGATTCGGGCTAAGCATTTTATGATTACCTCCTTGGGCTGGGCCTATATCAGGGCTGGTTTTCAAGTACACAAGTCCAAGTCCACCCCTTCAAATAGTGGGTTAGACTAGTCTAAGGCCCATATAGGCTGAGCCAGGGTTTTTTGCCCACTGGATGGGCTGGTTCCCCATCGGCTTACAAGCTCACTGTCCAAGTGATGATCCTAAGTTAAACTACACTCTGTAGTATTCTCTGCATCCCCATTTACTATTCTTGGTTTCAATTAGCACGGAGTTCAGGAAAAGGATACTGTGTTTATCATTTTCAAAAAATGAATGGAAGAATATGAACTATAAGAAGTATGAATATTATATTTTAATCTACCTAAAAGGGAAGTAAGAAGATTCAAAGGGAACAGATGGAATTACAGAAGACTAAGGGACCACAGGGTCTAAAGTTTAAACCGACTACACTAAGTGCCCGCTACTTTCCTATCGACGCAGTGTATTAGTCTTCAGAAAGTATGAAGGTGTAAATCAAAAGTTATGTAAAGTTCACTAAACTAAGCCGGCCAAACTAGATTTTGTAAAGATGGATCATGCAATCATAAACCTTTAACCACAACTTGACAGGAGCATGTCATGTCCACATTGTTTCAGCAACACAATCATTCATTTGAAATGACTGAAATGAAAGTTGGGTATGATGACACCAGATTGATCTGGATATTCTGGAGTTTCTGGCCACAGATTTCAGTGGAGACCAGTTGACATCTCATACGATATAAAGAAAATACTTCCTGTATCATCAGCTGACAACAACAAAGGTCTGACCGGTTTGTTGAAAAAAATGCCCAAAGGTGAATGGATCATGAAAAAGATAATGCAGTCCTGAGCTATTCTCCTGTGTTGGTTAGACGAGACAATGCCCAGGAAAAGGTAGGAACAAAGAGTAGTCACAAGAAAGAATGATAAAGTGACTTGAAGAAACACCAAGTAGAGAGGTGAGGCTCTGTGGCCCAAACACCAAGTGAATACAAATATATAATAATATAATAATATAATATGGAACTTTGTAATGCTATTGAGCTATTCAACTTTATACACAGAACCTATAATTATAGATAAAACTATAGTCAGATATAATGTAATCTGGTACAGCTTTGGGCTAAGCGCATTGAGATTGACAACAATTAGGGTCAGTCAACAGAGATAAATTTGAAGTGTCAAAAAGTAACATGAAAACTCAAATAAAAGCTGATGTTTCTGAGAAAAATATAAGATTCTATGTTTGAATTGCAAATCTATCATTACCTAAACCATAAGCCATCATTGCCCAGAGAAAGTAACCTGTACGGAGACTCTTCTTAGATAGCCAGTCATACCTGAAATTCATAAAAGAGCAAGAAGAAGCAGTCACTCAGAACCATAACATATGAGTATAATGTTTAAACATTTAACCTATGAACTTGCATTTGAACCTACAATGCTGTTTCTCAAAATTTGATCGTAATCGGGAGCAGTTTGCTTTCCCAAAAATATTTTTTTTACATGTTTTCAGCTGTTTTTAAGAAGTTGAATAGTTGTAACTTGTGAATAATTTTCAGAAACTTGTTTTTTCTTAAAGTGTTTTCATACTCTTACTTTGTAAAAGAAAATATTTTGTTTTGAACTCCAAGGCCATCTGTAGTGGTAACTGGTAAGGTATTAGAAATCCGAAATGTTAAAGATGGACATTTTGGACTTTTAAATGTATACATTGCAGCACATTGGAGAGGGGAGTGGAGAGGGAAAGGGGAAAGGCTGTTTTTTTTTTTTTTGGGGGGGGGGGGGGGTGACTCCCCAACTTGGCCGGAACACGGAAGAAATGGGGAAGGAATAAAGGGCTGCAAACCCCAACTTGAATATTTAAGGGAAGTTACCCTAAATAGGACTAAAAACGTTTGTATATTCCCAAATATGACTGTCATGTTTTTATTCCCAAAATAGGACTAATTACTGTCATGTTTTGGCAGTACCAGACTTTAAAGATGGCAGTATTTACCAAACTTGGCAGTAATTACTCCTATTTTGGGAATAAAAACATGGCAGTCCTATTTTGGAATTTTCAAACTTATTTACTCCTATTTCGAGAATTTTCCCAATATTTAATGACTAACATGAAGGGTATAATATGCTCAAACCTTAGTGAAAATGCTACTAGTAAACCCGGTATAATAATATCACCAAAACCAATGACACTATAGCCACCCCAAGGGTCAAACATCCGTGGGATTTTCAGCAGCATGGGTATTCCATCTTCTCCACTTTTATCACCCCGAGCAACCTGCAAGGTTGAATAGGATTGGAGAGTTATACATCTCAGGAATCATGGGTAGTAGTTCATAAAGAATCTACATATATTGTTTCAAGTTAGAAAAAGACGCACCACTATCATCACACTTTCATGAAACCACCATTTTGAAACAAAGACCCAGAAAAGGTCATACAAGAAAGCACAACCAAGGAGCACTGTTCCAACCTGATCATGCCAAATGAAAGTAGTTACATCAGATGATCACATGCGGATCAATTCCAGTCAAGGGATCAACATTTATCATTCACACTCAACAAAACTTCTGCCAGCTCATATGACGCCATAAGAAATTGTCTACCAATGCCTTAAATGTATAGGTATTTACAGTATTAAAAAAATGTTGAAATGATCAGTTTATTTACTTTTATGGAGTTCATTTCCCCTTGTTTGTATTCAATAATGGCTTGTTTATTATTCAAAGCAAGATTTCCTACTTATAGTAAGGACAAAGGATTACAAACACCAGTTAGGAAAGGGAGGATTGCATGAAATCGATTCTTAAAACATACTACCTTCATCCCATTTTATGTGGCTTGTTTTGGTTTGGCACAATATTAATAAAGTGGTTGAAAAAGTAAAAGTTGTGGTTGAGATTTGAGTACAACTAGGTAGTTTACTCGCTACTCGGTAGCTACTCGGTCAAGGGCCGAGTAGCGAGTATGACCGATTACTCGGGATTACTCAGTGATTACTCGGCCTAGTATTAATTAAATATAAAAAATATATTTAAATATAGTAGTCTTAATATAGTAATAAAATTGCCTTTAAATGTTTAGAAGTGAATAAAAGGATAGAAATTGTCTTAAAATGCATATAATACGTATACAATAGCAGAATACAACTTCAAGAAGCACGAGCATTGGAAGAAAAGACAAATATTTTTTTGTAGTTTTTTGGCACCTATTCTTATTCCAATTGAAGAACTTCAAAGTAACTTCAAAGTGGCACCTACCGAACAACTAGTCCTCAAAGGTAGTTCCCTAAATGAAAATTGCAGCTCACCCAAAACCAAACATGATGCTTTTTTGCTAAGCTATATTTTTCACCTTTTCAATTAAGAGATTTTATTTCAGCATTCAACAACTCAGTTCTCAGGGGTACATTCAATACATTCACTTTAGTTGGCCAAAGACTTGAAAATGTACAATGAAAACACCGGTTTAAGAAGCACAAGCAAACGAAGAACAATCCAAAATTCTCAGAGTTTATTACAGTATACAGAGAAGAATATAATAGGAAACATGAGGGAGAATCAGAAACAACACAGAGGATAATCTCAATTTAATTTTTTCCCAAGCGGAGGTAGTGTTTTTTTTACATACCGAGTACTCCCGACTCCCGAGTAAATCGCCTTTTTGACCCACTGATCGAGTTGGCTAACTCGGCGAGTACTCGGCGAGTAACTCGGAATAATAACTCGGGCCGAGTAATGTGCTACTCTGCAAGGTCATAGGCCGAGTAGGGAGTAGTCACTGAGTACTCGCTGAGTACTCGCCGAGTAAATAACCCAAGAGTACAATAAAGTGAGATGTTGTGGACCAAAAAAGGAAATATGACACTCATTTTGGGACAACCTAAAAAGGAAAGTAAGACAGCTAAAATGGGACGGAGGGAGTATAATCTTATGAATGAAAGCAATAAACTGTAAACCAACCTACGGAAGGAAAGCAATAAATCAATATAATGAAGAAAAGCAATAAAGCAGTAAATAAAGGAATTACATTTTCCATAATGCCACAACGCTTACAGGTGTTTCTAAACAATGCATCAGAGCGCTGATGTATAGGAATTAGAACCCCTACGTTATTCTTAATCCTATTTTTTTTTTTTTGGATAAAATGTAAAGTATATATATCCAGAAAAATAGCATAGTACAATGCATCACGATTACAATCAAAGTGCATATCCCGATACATGGGATACCACAAGATCAGTAGAAAACCTCAAAAGTCAACAATTTCAACCTAAAGACATTAGGGACAGAAAAAACTCAACAAACTAGCTCATCAAAATATTAGGTATCCCCAATTCAACAACCAAAGAAAGCATGGAAAGGAGTAGAGAACTTTGAGTCAAAGCACACTTCCCCTTTCTTCTTAGTAACCCCCGGCAACCTCTCAAGACAATGGGAGGTGAATGTTAGGCCCTTCTTATCCAAGTCATCCGTAAGTCTAAGAGAGGTATCCACTCTAATGACACTAGTACGGATGTATCTAAACGGTTTGACAAGCAGCTTAAGCACCTTACCATTTATGACCTCACACTTGGTGACAACATCATCTTGTTTCAAATCACGTTCATCCCTCACAACCCTCCCCATAGCTTCCAAATTGACATCGGTATCCTCCCCCAATTTCTTTCCATCTCTAATTTGCTCCTGAGTAATCTGCCCAATGGGCTCGGTCTGGTCAGGAGGAAGTCCGGTCGGGTGAGGAGCAATGTCGGGAAGGACCTGGGCATCTGGCATCTCCTGGATAGCATTCTTCCTTGAAGGCCCGGTCGGGTCAGAGGTGCACCCGGTCGGGTACACAGCAGGTACAGGCACTGTGATAGCAGCAAGCCCGGTCGGGTCAGTGACAACCCTGGGCGGGTTATCCTTTGCAGCAGCTACTGGCCGAGGGGCTTTTTTCCCAATCACCTCATTTGTTTCATTAATCATTTCTTTCTCACTTTCTCCATCAACCTGTTTAGCTAGCTTTTTGCAAATAAACGGGTGGTGCCCAAATTCTTTGCAATGAAAGCAATAGCTAGGAAAAGTTTCATAAAGCACACATTGTTTGAATACCTTTTTGGAAGGTAGTCGAATGGGAAAAGAAAGTGGCGGTGGCTTTGAAACATCAACTTCAATCAACACTCTAGCATATTCATTGTTTGTCCTCTCTTGGGTAATCTTGTCCGTGGTTATTGGGACCCCAACCATCGATGCCACCTCACTCATAGCTTCATCATTCCATAACTTCATTGGTAATTTAGGGAACTTGACCCAAATTGGAACCTTAAGAAACTCCTCATCTTCAAATGAAAAGTCATCCGAAAGTTCTTTGAGCATTAGAAGTTTCCCAAACACATTGTAAGGTCCGTTATGTAGTACCTTTGCTCTATCCTCCTCATTTGTAAATTTGAAAATTACCCATCCTTTGTTGTGGGACCTTACAAGACATTTCACGCCCCAAGTAGCTCTAAGATCATGTACCGCTTTGAGTCCGGGGAAATTTCCAGTGAAGTGCCCAACAAGGCAAAAGCCCCACATTTCAACCATGGAAGGTAGTATACGATCACCAAAGTCCAATGTGTCTCCTTTAGGAGGGACATATTTCAGTTTGATACCATGCCTAGGGTCACGATTGTCCTTGAAAAGAGCGCTCCAAGGTTCAGTAGTTGCTGCCCGTGCAAGTGCATCAGTGGTTACTGCCAGAGTAGTTGGCTGTGTGTTATCCGCGGTTACTGCCATAGGCTTAGCAATAACAGGTTCCTTTGGAGGAGATTTCCCATCTTTGTTTGCAGACCCAGGGTCTGTTTGAACAACTGTCTGCTCCTTATGCTCAATCCCTCGCTGCCCAGGAGTTTTAATCAACGCATCAGTGGCCTGCTTGTTCCCAGATATATATCTTTCTGTAGAGCTCCCAGAATCTGCAGCAGGTTTATTTGCATTCCCCTGCATCCCAGAGCTAAGCACCGGATCCCCAGGTACCAGCAGCTCCTTGGCAGAGTTAGAGCTCCCAGTCTGCTTCTCAGACTTCCCACCAAGTAGTGCAGGGAAGTTGTCGTCCAAACCGTCCAGAGCATTGAACCCTACAGCAGCTCGAGACCTGGTGTTCACAGATGGCGTTGCCACTGGTTTACCCTGTTTCTTACCAGCCATAAGAGTCACAGTTCACAGACCTGGTGTTCTTACCAACGTTGCCAAAAATTCAAAAATCGCAGACTTTGGGATAAAATCGACGAGGACCGAACCTCCTACGGCGCGATTAACAAAGAAATACACCAAACCCAACAACGAAACCCCAAAGTACAGCAAAACTCGATTCTCGTGAACAGTAAAATCGCGAAACAAACATCTCGTATCTGAGTTCTTTGGCCATCGTTCAACAATAAAACACCAAATCCAAGCCTACAGATGGTATTTACTTCAAAATCCGACCAAGAAACAAAGATTTAGTACTCAGAAATCAAGAGTCTCGTGAAATCCATCGTGCAAAAGAGCTGGGAGAAAATTTTCCCAGGAGAGAAGCTCTCAACTTTTGCTTTTTTTCTTCTTAATCCTATTTATTTAGGCCCATAGGTTGATTATTTCTTTACCAACACATTTGTAAATGTAAAATTGTTCTCTTATAGTCTTATGTATTATATTGCAATCTAATTCCTGTATCAAAACATCAAATTTGTTCTAATAATCCTGCTTCTTGCTTTATGAAAAGAATAAAAGCAGAAACATTGGGTGCATGCTTTTTTACCTTGAGATTGGGAACACGGACAATCTGGAGGACTGTGATAATCAATGCAATACCCTGATAACAGGTAACATCAAGAGAGATCATCCTCAATTTCCATATAAGCATTAGGCATGAAAACAACTCGGCAACATAAATGTTACCCAGCTCGTTTTTATCTATGTTACTAGTATCTTTGATTATGTATAAGTTTCAATATTCTTGATCTAATTCCATCTTCAAATTTCAGGAAGTGAAAAGTTGGAAGCTTTTTTATCCATTAATTTTATTTCTAAGTTTCTAACTTGATCATTAATACATAAAAGAGAACATTCTTCTTGATAAAATTATCAATTACAGGGCTACAGGCTACTAGTGTCTGGTGACATTGACTCAACTTTTTGTAATTATCTTCAACTGCTATTCTGCTATTGAATGCTTAATGGTTTACTATCACACCGCAACAGACAAACTGGCTAGTCACATTATTACATTACCACATAATTCAGAAGGCGTGATCTTTATGTGCTAGACATCTAACATACATCGGTACATCCATAAAAATAACCTAGGTAGTTTGGAGAAATTGACCAAATTTTCAACATATATGTACAGGAAAACCTTACAAGTATATCTTGACCTATCCAGGCAAAGGAGACACGTCTAAAAATGGCCCACATAACAGCAAATGCTATGCAGAATGGAGAAACAACAAGAGTGAGATATGATACGGCCCCAAGCAAAGGTACTTTAATAAAAGTCTCTGCAGCATGTTCAAACCATCTGCAACTATATTCAACAATAGTTAGCCATTTCTCCGAATTCAAATTGTCAATTCAGAAAAACATACATAATACCCCATAATCTCATATAACAGATTTTCCCTTTCCAGATAGATTTTGGAGCACTTCCATGTGGTCCATTTATGTAGGCTTGTGTTGCTTGACAAAATATTTGAGCATAATAGTTATAATAGATCCTAAAGAAGATTCCAAGTAAAAAAGCATACCAGGATAACAAGGCAACCAAGCAGGTTTGCAGACCCTGCAAGTAGAAAGAGGCACATTGTTAAGTACTCGATGTAAAAAATGATACTCCGGCATAACTTAGTAATGAACATTTTGAATGGAACATTCTAGCAAGTTCCTAACTCCAAGGGAACTAAACTTAACCTGCCCAATCAAGTAGTTTAATCTATCTTTGAAATTTTATGAATGATATTTACCAAGCAAATATATACAGGGTTTTATATCGTTGGTTTTGTTTTAGATATAGTAATGTCATTTGCTATGAGACAAACTGACTGCTTTCTTTTAATATTTAGATAGATTACCTCTACACCACCAATGCAGAATAAAACCACGAGAATTTCCAGGAACCAGACTGACATTAGTTTGTAAAGCATGATCAGGAAGCAAGAGGCCATGACAACAAAGAGAATTGCTGACATTGTGTTGATGTCTACTACACCACTAGATTGTGTGGTCTCCATGCCACTGTATTCATCCGAGCCATCCTGTAACAAATATAAATCTAGCATTTAACCAAAAAAATTAGGTCCAACCACCCTGAAGCCTGAACAGGAGGATGCACATTATCCACTAAGATTATAAAAGGCCTTTATGATGGCCATGAATTTACTTTTAGTAGCTTATCCTGCTGAATTGCTGCTTCTCTGGCGGACCATGCTGACCAATATGATGCAAATAAAATGGTTGTAACAGCCATAAGCCACAGAAATACTTCAGCTACATCGACCACTGGACGCCTTGGAGAATACAGCTGCACAGAAACTGAAGAGAATAGAAGTTATGGTGAAGCCATAACAAAGTTTAGAAATAGAGCTTGAAAGCCAAATCCATGAATATGACAACATTTTGAACAGTTAAGTAACTAAAGATATGCAAAAAGATTTTTTTATTTCAATTCTAGGAAGCTTACCCTCTGACTTGTTCATAATATTGTCTATCAAGCTTTTGCCAGCATCTTGTGGGAGCATGATAGCAGGTATGCGAATAACCAAATCAGTTTCATTTCCTTGACAGACCATCTTGAAGAGCTCTGCAATGCAAAGATAAGGAATACGAAATTGATTTATCAGAAAAGCCGATTAGTAGAAGCTATCCATTGCATGATAGAACCTTGTACGGTTCAAACTCAAATACGCCATTTGAAACACAAAACGAGAGTATTAAGGTAACAGCAATAAGTACTAAAAGAAACAGGACATTCAGTCAAATGAATGTATTACTAAAGATACAATCTGTAGTCTATTATATGACCAAGTGAAACATTTTGCGGAATAATACGTAAACCTGTTTGGTTGTTTATAATGAGGATAGCTGAAGCATGAGCATCATCTGCAACATTAGCTTTGGTAGTGAAACTGCAATTTCCACGATGCACTAGTATGGCCTTGCCAGTAAGCTGCCATGAAACATAATCTAATGCTGAGCACTTGCTGTATAAGATACTACTTCTGATTTTTTGTTATCCAATTATGAAAAGGGCAAAAACATGTAACCTGATTATAATTTATGTAAATAAAGATAACTACAAACCTTATTCTTCGGTTTGCTACACAGATCAGGTGGGTCAGCAATAGCAAGTCTTATTTGGTTGGCACGCTTCTCTTTTGACTCCAGGGTTGGGCCAAATCTAGCGCCAACTCCTACAAACTCCATCTCCTCCTCACCATTGATCCAGGTTGCAACTTTCACCTTTGTAAGAAATAGGAAATCTAGTTTCAATCAGCTGTGCACTTCTAAGTTAGAAAATGTGCTAAATCACATACCCTTTATTATAATATAAAACCACTAACTTCATGCTAATTAAAAGTAAATATCGAAAAATATCAGTTTTTGATAGGGAGCATTTGGGAAAGTTAAACATATGCACATACTCACAATATATTAATCATAGACAATTGAATTTTATTGACGGGAAGGCTGTTACATTGCATAACACAGAGTATTACTAAAAATAATACTAGGAATACATCATAACTGAGGGTTACTAATCATGTCAGGTACTTGTTAGGATGCACGAGTTGAAACTGATATTGTAGCAGAGGACAATTGCATAAAGTGAACATTGTGTGTCATAAGAGCATAATGCTTAAAGTGATATTCCTTTTTTATACCAAGGAACATAAAACAGCTTCGAGGGGTTATATCTAATTTAATTCTCACATATTTACAGAGCACTTTTTAGTGAATCATCTCTACTTACTATATTTGGACTGTGCTTTCCAAATCTGTACTCCCTCCATTCTTAAATAATTGCAACATGTAGAACTTTACACTATTCACATACTCTACTTTGACTACACTTTATTTATTAATCTATGAAAAAAAATCAAAATCTGATTTTTTTTTAAATTTGTACCGATGGTGAATTAATTATACTAATAGTAAAAGTTTCAACTATTAATAGTAAAAGTCTCGGGTTGGTAAACCTGAAAATGAGAGTGTTTCAAGTTTCAACTAAAAAGAAGTATTATGGCCATAGAAAGAATTACTAAGTAATAACCTAACCCATATGAATGAACAAACTCATCAGCTATCTAAGATCATAAAAGTTAGAGTTCAGTGCAAGATCAACAATCCAAAAATGTCTCTTTTGAGAGATTAAACACGTATTACATATAAATTGAAGATTCATTGAAAATCTCAAAATTGCTAAAGGAAACCAGCGATTGTCGGTAATTATGGCTTAATAAACTATATTTTACACATACACAGAATAAACAAACAAATGAGTATTTTTAATTCATCATCTTTTAATCTCTGCAGTAAAAATCTGATCACATGAAGTAAAAAAAATTAAAACTTTAAGTAAATCAGACACAATAACTAAGCATCACAGGGTGGGAAATTCGAGTCTTACCAGGACAAAATTGTTATCGCAGCCAGCTCTCCTTGGAGCTACATCATCATGGTGAACTATATCACCACCTTGAATCCGATCACAGCCGCACAAGAGCAACAAGACCACTGACAGTACAAAAAATGTAGGAACACAGCAGAAAGGAGCTGTACTTTTCAATTCCATGACCTCCAGCTCAACACTCTATGAATGAATGATTCTGTTTCGTAAGGTACAGGAAGAGGGCAAATGATTCTGTTTAGCAATAATCGACTAAGACATTAGACGAACGGCGTGGTGTAGACTGCGTCGGAAAGGGAAAGAGCAAAAATGACATGGAAGCTGAGAAAGCAATATAGCGTACGACCGTCTGGATGGGAAGTAGGAAGAGATGATCGATCGGATGAATTGGACCGAATCAGACACTTTGGCCCAATCACTTTGAATCGTTTAATTTGGCAGATTTTGCATACATGGACTATTCATTTTTGGGAGAATTTCCTAAATAGACTAAGAATAATACGTAGTATGTACTTTAAAATTTACTTTTAATAATATTAACTATTTAAATATAGATCAAAAGTCATATAAAGCAAAATTTCAACAAAAAATCAGTTATTTAATTCATCAAAAATAATTATAAAATATCAAAAAAGTGATTGTATTTCCAAATATCATTTATTTGATAATTTTCTATTAATTTTTAATGTCTTAAATGACTGAATTTTTTATCGAAAAGTGACTCCATGATATTTTTTGGGTTATACTCAAATAGTTTGTATTATTAAAAATCATTTTCAAAGTATGTATTATTATTGGTTTATACTATCCTCTGTTTTTTTTCCGCAACATGTTGAATTTTACATATTCACATGTTTTACTTTGACTACATTTATGCTATTATTTTATGAAAATTATTTTTTCAAAAAATATTGTTCAATTCATTTCATTACAAATTTTCAAAAAATGTTTTTTAATTTTTTTTACTAATAGAGATTAGGATATAATTACGGTCAAAGATGTGCATTGATAAATGTGAAATGTTGACCATTTCAACTAAAAAAGAACGGAGAAAGTATGTGATAGTTGGTCTTATTTAAAGTTATTTTCCCTATTCATTTATTTAAATAAAGTTATTTTATTATTTTATATTTTAATTATTGATGAAATATGCATTGTATTAAAACAAATGAGTCCTATTAAAAAAATCTTTAAATACTTCAGCTACATCAACCACTGGACGCCTTGGAGAATACAGCTGCACAGAAACTGAAGAGAATAGAAGTTATGGTGAAGCCATAATTAACATACTTTAGAAATAGAGCTTGAAACCCAAATCCATGAATATGAAAACATTTTGAACAGTTAAGTACTTAACTGTAAAGATATGTAAAGATATTTTTTATTTCAGTTCTAAGAAGCTTACCCTCTGACTTGTTCATAATATTGTCTATCAAGTATCAAGCTTTTGTCAGCATCTTGTGGGAGCATGATAGCAGGTATGCGAATAACCAAATCAATTTCATTTCCTTGACAGACCATTTTGAAGAGCTCTGCAATGCAAAGATAAGAAATACGAAATTGATTTATCAGAAAAACCGATTAGTAAAGCTAATACGTACTTTGAAATTTACGTGTTATTTCATGATGGTAAGTATATGGGGATGGATGGGATCATGGGAGCATATATGTTATTGGGAGAGTCGGCTACCTATGTCACCCTATGTGTGTGGCCTCCTCATAATAATATAAGGAAAATGCTAAGTATACACACACAAGTTGTACATGGTATAAAACTAAAAAAAATCTCATTTCCTCCTCCCTCTTCTCCCTCTCTATCGGTTCTCTCTTCCTTCTCTCTTCTTCCTCTCCCCCTTCTCTCTTTCCTCTTTACCCAATCTCTTTTAAAATTCTCAACAACAACAAAAATATCTTCTTCATCCTCCTCTTTCCTTCTTCATCCTCTTTTTCTCTACCTTTATTTATCAATTTTTTTCATTATTTACACAAATAATTGTGGCGTGCGTATGGGTCTTCATGAGAATTGTGGCGTGCGTATGGGGCTTCGTGATGGGGGCCGGCCCCCTTTTCATGTCAATCCATTAATCAATTAATAAAGAGGAGAGGAGAATGAAGAATGTGTGTGATCACTCTTGGTTGGATGCTTTTTGGATCGCTTGTATCGAGTACTCCTTTGGTATCTATTCATTTATCCTCTTTCCTTTTCACGTAGTTTCATTTATCCTTTTTCCTTCTCACGTAGTTTAAAACAAATATGGTAGATTATATGTAAAACAGGAAGTTTTGGATACTATAGCAGTATTGTAACGTAACTGCTTTTTGACTGAGTTTATTCCTAAAAATAAATGTGACATTTTTTTGATACGCCCCAAAAGGGAAAATAAAGAAAATTAATTAAAATGGCAAAAGAAAACAGAAATAAGATGGAGCAGAAATTAGTCAAAGTCCGTGCTACGCACGATGTCGTTAAAACGTATTTGTTGCCTCCCACGGTGCTAGGAGCATTGCAACAATCGTTTCTTAGGATACAATGACTACGAACTAATGTTTGAGCACACAAACAAAAGTTCCAGCGAACGAGAACACAGTATGAACACTGAGGAAATTTTCGGAATGCTGGAGGTGTTTTTGAGCTCAGAAATACGTGAGGAATGTGTATGAACGTGTGTATCAACGTGTGTTGTTGCAAACCACCTGCTAGCCATTATATAGGAGGATTTGTTGTGTAAATGGTGAATTAATGGACCTGAACGTTGGACATCAATGACCAGTCCGTTTGACATTGAATCATCCATGAACTGTCCATTTAACGCTGCATTAAAAGATAAGAACGTTGGACATTAATTGTTGTAACGGTTCAGATGTGCGACAGAAGACCTCCCAACAGAACACCCTGTGAGAAAGGCTTTTTAATGTTTTATAATCACCATATTAAGATCTTGCCTAAATAAAATGGAAAATGCTTAGTGTACATGATTTGTACACAAATTATACACAAAACCCCCCTAGTTGTTTGTATACACAGAAAATTTGTTTAAAAAGAAACATTACTTTATGTCAAATTGTTTGTATACACAGACAATGTACACATTTTGTGTATAATTCGTTACACCAAAAATGGTCCAAATAAAATGTAGTACTGGTAATGCACAAGGCCCCAACTCTCCGGCCATGCCATGTGCAGCCCACATCATGCCCACCTGCCACCACCCATATCCCACGCTCTCCCGCCCCGCCTATCATTCCTTAGCTTCGCTCCTCAACCCAATAAATCCCCTCATAAACGCCCCCCAACACAGAACATACAGATCCTTTCAAGTTTCAATCCACCTCCCTCTCCTTCTCCCTCATTCCCAGGATGACCACCGCCGCCGCCATTTCACTCCTCCTCATCGCCGCCGCTGTCCTGCTCGCCATTGCCGTCCGGACAACCATCGTTACCTGGATCACCGTCATCGTACTCCTCGCATTCGTCGGCAAACGCCGACGCCTCCTCGCCCAGGACGGCCACAAGATCACCTTCGATGTTGCTTTCTACTTGGCCAAGGTGTTTTCCCGACAAAGGGCCGGCGGCGTTCTTGCCTTCTCCTGCGCCGCCACAGCTTTCGGCTTCACCACTTTTGCTTGGATCGGCGGGAAATCCGGCTGCTGATTTCCCATACCTGTCCGCAGCTTAATTGCTCCTGTAGTAAAAGTGTGAATATATAGAGAAAAACACAATTAAGAGGTAGTGAGTGCGTTTGGTTGGGGTTTTCCCTCCCTTTTTAGGGATAGCGAATTTTTCGTTGAGGATTTTTTAGAGTGATGAAGATGATAGTGTGAATTTATCAAGCTCTATCCCTTCTTCACCCCAGCCTTCCTTAGCCAAACGCGCCCTAAATGGGTCACTTAGATATGGGATATTCATTTTGTACTCCATAAGCGTTCTGAAATTCAGATGATTTTTTTTTTTTTGAAATTCATTGATTTCACAGATAATGTATGTATGCATTCTTGTTGTAAAAGTTAAAACCTCATATTGAATGAGTAAATGTATGATCAAGGTTGTTAAAATCTCGATTTAAATCGTAAAATCGTACAATTTTACGATTCTACATTAATAAAGCGATTCAAATCGCAGGTAAAATCGTAAAATCATAAAATCGTACAAAATCGTAAAAAAATCGTCCTAAAATCATGTAGAATCGTATAAAATCGTAGCAAAATCGTAGGAAAATCGTAATAAGTTGTTTTTGATGAAAATGGTTCAAATTTATTAAAATTAACAACTACAAATTGATACATAATTCCAATAATAATATGAATAGTTTATTTATAAAAGTAATGGATTCTTGTGTTACTTAATTATTTTTATGTTTTACGTTTAATGTTATTATTCAATACATTTACCTTATAAAAACAGTTTATAAATCTTGCTTTTGACATTTTAGCTATAGTTTTATGTAATGAAATAATATAATATCATTAACTTGCAACTTAATTTTAATATTTATTTATTTTATAATTATTAACATACGTTTGGTAAAATCTTACGATTTGCGATTCGATTTTACGATTCGATTTCTAAAAACATCTACCGATTCGATTCAAAAATACGATTTTAACAAGCTTGTGTATGATAGTTGTTAAAGATACACTAACTCATAGGAGAGTATAAAATTGTTAAATAAATACTCTATGATGTACTCCCTCGGTCCCTTTTTAGTTTGCCAAAGAAAAATTTCCAAGTCAAAGTTGTTCAAGTTTGACCGATTATATATTTATGCACAGTAATATTGATAATAAGAAAATTATATGAAAATGTTCTTTGTTGAAAATATTATTATAAAAGTATAAATGTATTAACTTTTACATAAATATATTAGTTCAAATAATGGATCCAAGTTTATCATCTTTGACTAGAAAAGTCAAAGTTGGAAAACTAAAAAGGGACGGAGGTAGTACCTTCAAATTATAGTTTCCATTTAAAATAATAAATGTGTATTTAAAGAAGAAATTATCTAGGAGTAAAGGGTCAGTTTGGTACTCGAAGTTGCAAAAAATGGGTCAAATAAGTCCTTATATAGAAGATTCTGTCCGAACATGCCATTTGAGGTAGCTCCTGATAGAATTTTTTGATGAAATTTTTTGATCATCTTATTCATTAAGTCTAGTTTACTCATACCAAATTTCAGCTAACAATTCAATCGGGGAGACATTCAAATGAATTCTTGAAGATAACTGCGCTTTTAATGGCACAGTTATCTTCAAGAATTCATTTGAATGTCTTCCCGATTGAATTTTTATTTGAAATTTGGTATGAGTAAACTAGACTAATGAATAAGATGCTAAAAAACTTTCATAAAAAAATTCCACCGGGAGCCACCTCAAATGGCACGTCCGGACAGAATTTTCTATATAAGGACTTATTTGACCCCTTTTTTGCAACTTCAAGGACCAAACTGACCCTTATCCCAATTATCTAGATAGGAGTTATTGTAACGCCACAAAATCTGGTCTAGTAGTTAAGATACATATGAAGAAATTTTCAGATTTTATTACAGTATAAAATTAAACAACTCTCCTACTCCATATAATTTATAGTATATTTTTATAATAACTAAAATAATAGTTCTAAACTAAACGGCAGAAGCTATCCTTTAAACACTTTTCTTGTAAATCGTATTGGTTTGATTTTTCTAGGCTGATTACATTAAATTAGAAAAATAATTGTTTCCCAAATAGTTTCGTACTATTATGATAAGCAAGTAGGACAACATACTCTAATTTATTGAAATAGTAAACATCTTAAATTTATTAGAGATAGGCAACCACCTAAGGTCAATTCACATGAGATATTTTACACCAAAAATAATTAGGTATGGGCAAGCACCTCTATTAATAGTTATTCAAATAATTATGTTTGCCAAGCATTTTGTCTACTATACGGATGATGAAGACTATATATATGTACTCTTAGTTATCTCAAAACTTTATAGACATACCATGCGGCCACCCACTATTAAAAAAAATACATAGTATATATTAAGTAAGAAAGAGTTGAGCAAGTAGAAGAGGTAGAAACGAGCTCAAGGAAAATAGCTTCTGATCGACCCAAAAATTTTTAAGGTTCCGTATATAAGGTCAGTACTTTTGACCCCGTTTTATTTAATGCATATTTTAATATTATCATGTAAGTATAATTTCCGTCCCCGTTTCATATGTAATGGGGATGATGAATATTATGTAGCCTTAAAAATACTTGTAAATTTCAATTATGTGATCGTTAATAAGGGTTGTCAATCTATTATCGATAATTACAAATGAAAATAGAATGAAAAAGGTTTAATTGATGAAATTATACAAGTCTGGCAGTACAAATCGAGAGATTATAAAATGAACTAAATACGGTGCATAACTAAGTTGTTAATTAAAAATGATCGATTTTGTTCTTGGGTTCCATGCTTCCATTTTATAAAATATAAATCTGTAAAATTTTAGCTTTACGTCATTTCACGTTTTTTTTGAAAATAAAGTAATTCATATTATATGTATTCCCATAAACGATCACGTAGTACATGCATGTGTATAAGGCCGGGTATCATTTGTCAACGTAACATACTTAATTAAATATAAGTATTCACGTATGGAGGTAGCTAATGAAGTGTTATAGATTCTAGTTAATTTACGTTGCACACATTTCTATAACCATTTACTTTAATATTATTTATTTACATAATTTAGTTTTGGAGAGTCACATGCCATAAGTTAAGATTATATAGATATTAAATAATATATATATATATAATTGTACGTATAACTAGTTTGAAGGATTTCGCCAATAAAGTTCAAATAATTTATTTATATATATATATATATATATATATATATATATATATACACGTCTAATTAACTAGATAAATTATTAATAAGTTG